GGGTGGATTCCCTGACGTAGACGTCGAGATCACCAACCAATCAGGATTGGCGTAATGAGATTGATGCTTCTGTTTGCATACGTGTTGAGGCACATCCCATAGTGAGACATCTAGCTTCATGTTACTCTGAGAACTGGGGTTACGTAAGTAACCTATAGTTATAGTACTTCATATATTGTTAATGGAATTCAAGGGAACCTAGGAGACTGCAAAGAGCAGTGTGTGCGCTGTGTTTCATTTTACAGGGCCTATATGAGGCAGGGAGGATATTGGAAACACCTCTCAAGAAAATGAAATGATGCATATTGTCAAAGTTACTCGTGTAAAATAAAGTTCACACTACATTAGGCTGTGTTTCATTTGTATGAACACTGATAGCTACTTAGATTGGTAAAATACAGAAGCTGTGACTGCAACCAGCCAAATAGAGCTGTTGTTGGACTCAACATACTTTTTCCACACTTTTATTTTATTTATAATAAATCCTTAAGTTCTAGCAGATAGGCAATATTTCTCCCTGTGTGTTGTATTACTCTAAACCATCTGAAACGTCACCATCCTTCTCCAAAAGCCTGTCCCGGGGCAGAAAAGAACAGTCGTAAAAGATTTTCTGGTCTCGCTTCATCAGTTTTTGAATTTTATTTTCCTCATAAAGTAAATAAATTATTTTGTATTCCTCCCTGCCTTCTTTCGCTCTGATCATTTGTCAGTCGCAAGTACACACACACACACACACACACACACACACACACACACACACACACACACACACACACACGTAATCTATAAAAAGGACAGACTTCATACAAGATTGTGTAGGATGTGCTACAACAGTGAATAAAAGACAATACTAAACTGTACACACAGGCTTTCTAAACATCATGACACATTGCTTGTTTACCCCTGTTTCACTGTCGTACGGTGCTGTCTACAATGGTGCTGATTGTTTTGTGTCAGTTCACTCTGAACTCTTCTCTTCTCCTTCTTTTGTGAATGTGTTCATAGTATTTTCAGTGCTAGCTGTTTAGAACACAAAGCCAATAAACAGTTTGATAGAATGCACATTGTCCACCAAGATAACCACAACATAACTCATTCTTTGTTTTATTGACAGCACTGCGTAATGACTGCAAACTCCTATTATTTATGAATCGGGGACTTGTGTGTTTTCATTTTATTAATGAATGTTGCTGTTTAACAATGAATCTGCTTCCACTTGGTAATCTACATCATTACATTCTGCCAAAACCTTCCCTCGCTGCATTTTTATAAAATGCAGGAAGTAGTTGTAGCCATGCTGCTTATTGCTGTCAACATTAGCGCTTGTTTTGTTGTTATATTGCATATGTTAAAGATGTAGTTTGGAAATACTGTGGCTGCATTAGAAACACACTTTGCATGACGATGGATATATGCAGGGTGTCAACATTTCTCATATTTGTACAATTATAATACACAGGTGTGAGGAGCATTTATTGATAGGATCATGACATGTATAGAGATCTCCACCAACAGTAAACTCATCACATGAGTTACTAAAACATTCACTCTCCCTGGCGCTGACTGTGTTGTGCGCTGTGATTTGCTGTCATTCAGCTGAGCCCCTTTTGTAATGATAACAGCATTTGTGTTTCGATCGGAAAGTGTCAGCAAACCTTTCCTACGTAGGTTACATTCTGACTCTTAACAAATATGCTAAACCAGCATTCAAAAGAATCAGTGTCAACACAGACTTTATGAAGAGTGCATCTAATGAATGTTCCCTTATTGATTAATGTGACAATCATTTTTGATTAATACATGTATAACTTGTAAGTTCACATTGACAAAGGTTCATATAAAATGTTCAAATTCTTCATAGGTCATGTCAAGTATATGTATGATCACTTGTTATCACTCTTATTGCACTATTTTACTATTTTTTCTGTTTTATTGTGTAGCAGTGTGGAGTTCCATTGTGACCAAAGATTTTCATCAACATAACTACACTGTAGCTATGTATGTATGACAAATAAAAGCCTTGAACCTTGAAGTTAATGATTTAAAACGGAGCAAATCCTCACATTTGAGATGCTAAAGCAATTTTTGTATTGCTCCATTTTGCAAGTGTTCAGGTGTACACAACTGTACTTGATGGATTGATAAGTTGACAGACGCACATTTCCTGATTCAATGCTCCTGTCCAGATTTCCTTGCGGGAACTAAATGTAATGACTCCACCTTATGTGCGGGCCTGATCATTTACAGTTTTTTATGGAAAGGTCCATGCTCTTTTCAGATAAGTTTAATGTCCTGGTTGTGGTTTCATTCATATCCAGGCTGCCCAATTTTCTTGCTTTTCGTCCATTTTCAACCAACTGTGTGAAGTATTGGCCCAGATCTGTCATTCTTATTCACATTCTGTACTCCCCTTTGCCTCATTGACATTGGCAGTAGATTGAGCCATTCCCAGCTGGCCCATTCTGAAAATGCTTACTGTAGAAACACATCCTCACAATAAAACAGACAGCTACCCCCTTGCCAGCTGTTCAGTCCTCACATTTACCTAATACAACCCCATTGAGTTTATGTTTTCCAAACACTAATGAGGAAATATTCCAGGTTAAAAAGCAGATTGTCTAAAGAGTGATTAAAACTTCTGTTGCATAAGTCAGTACAATCTCAGGGGGGCGTTTTTCACTTATCTGATTTCTGCTTTTGCTGTTTACTACTATCAAGAGATGTGGCCATTAAGACACTTGTCGTATTCAATGTATAAGTCGAACTCCACGCCATCATGCTAGATAGACTCAGGGAGTGGGTAGGCATCTCAGGGTCTGCCCTCCAGTGGTTTGCCTCGTACCTCAGTGGGAGAAGTTTCTCCGTGGTGGTGGGCCCGTTCTCATCGCACAGCACTCCCCTATCCTGCGGCCTGCCCCAGGGTTCTGTTTTAGCCCCCCGTCTTTTTGCCCTGTACATGCTTCCATTGGGCCACTTAATTAGCCAATTTGAGGGTGTCTCGTATCATTGTTATGCAGATGATATCCAGATATATTTCTCTTTCAAACCCTGATCACATGTCTGTCTGCAATTCAGGAGTGGATGTCAAGCAACTTCCTACAGTACAGCTCAATGCATCAAAAACGGAAGTGTTGATCTTAGCGGCTGATAGCATCGCCTCTAAGATAGCAAGCCACCTGGGTTCATTCAGTGGTAACATAAGGGCAAACATAAAAAACCTTGGTGTAATTTTCGATCAGTCTATGCTACTAGACAACCATATACAACTTCTGACCCGTACCTGTTTTTTCCATCTCAGGAACATTGCCAAGCTCAGTGGCTTTCTATCCAATGCAGAACTGGAGATGGCTATCCATGCCTTTATTTCATCCCGGCTTGATTATTGCAATGCTCTTTTTTCCTGCCTCAACAAAATATCAATAAACCGGTTACAACAGGTCCAAAATGCTGCAGCCAGATTACTCACTCGGTCCAAAAAAACATGCCACATCACTCCGATTCTTTCTGCCCTGCACTGGCTCCCTGTCCATCTCAGAACCCAATTCAAAGTATTGGTCTTCACATATAGAGCTGCCCATGGCCAAGCCCCAGCCTACATCAATAACATGATCCACCCTCACGCCATAAACCGGGCCCTAAGGTCCTCTGAACAAGGCCTCCTAAGGGTGCCCCGAACCAGGCTAAAGACTAAGGGGGACCGTGCCTTTGAGGCGGTGGCCCCAAGGCTTTGGAACAAACTCCCCCAGAAACTAAGAGCCTCTGCCTCAATCAAGATTTTTAAGGGGCAGTTAAAGACCCACCTTTTCCGACAGGCCTTTGGGGCGCCGGAGGAGGTGAGTTAGTAGCTGCGTTTCATTGGTGTTTTATCCTATGTTTTATCCTATGTATTACCTGCTGTTGTTTTATGCCTTTTATTCTACATTTTATAGTTGTACTTTGAATTGTGTCCTGTGTACTGTACTGTACTGTAAAGCACTTTGTACATCCGTGTTGAGAAGCGTGCTGTATACATAACGTTTAATAAAGTTTACTTACTTACTTATTTAAAACTGCAACCTTTCTCCTGTTTTTTGCTTACTTTTACCTCCTTTCTTAACTGTTTTCTTAATTTGGACAATTTAACAGTGCAAGGCTGCTCTCCAATGCATTGTTTGTACCTGATTTATTTAAAGTAATTGGCAATGTGGACAAATCCAAGCCATAACTCCACTAAATGACGTCGAGCTTCGCTAATTGTAGAAACACTATAACACTTTACTGAATGTGCTGTTGGCTTACAGAATGAAGTCCACTTTAAGATGGACAAAGCCCTGCATTGCAATTCTAAACTTAATTAAGAAACCTAATTGCAGAAGTATAAGGTTAGAGAGCTGGTCAGCCATTATTTTGTTGTTTCCTGGAAGTGTTTTTTTTTGTTTTTTAATATGCCAAGATGTTCTTACTATCAACAGTTACTGGACATCCACAGAAACATTGTTTTTGAGGCAGTTATTTTAGCCTGGGATTCATTATATTTTGTGGAATCACTAGATTTTCTGTGGGGATTAAGTATTGACACAAACTCTGTGAATACTAGTTTCTGATAGGTTAATGGTTGTTTGTTTAGTAATGAGAAATAAAAAAAAAAGTGAAAAAGTAATAACGGTCAGACGGAGTGATAGATTGATTCTTTTGAGTACACTTTTTTCATAACCGCAGAGTTGGTTTATCAAGTTCAGACCATGACCACATTTTGGACAACGCAATATTTAAATGGAATATTGGCGTTATGACAATAAACCTTAGAATCCATGGATTTTCAACATTGCAATAAACATTACTTATAAAGGATTAATAACTCTACATGGGCGTCAGTATCGTAGAGTGTTCCTCTGACAACTCCTCTTAACACAAGTGCCTGTACTGACTCAGCGGGGAATTTGGGATTACGTTGTGCGCTAAAAGCTTTTCACAGCGAACCATCCACTAACCATTGATCTGCTTTTGCTTCCAACAGAGATCATGACGACCGCCACCTCCCCCATCCTGTTGAAATGGGACCCAAAGAGTCTTGAAATCCGCACCCTGACTGTGGAGAGGCTTCTGGAGCCGCTGGTCACACAGGTAAAACAATTTACTCTGGGATACAAATACAAAAAAAGAGTAGCCAAAGCACTTGAGATTAGTTTTTAAGACAAGATAACAGGCTGACTCACTAAAAGAGGTTTACGTTTTTTTAATATGTACTAACACGAGACAAATCCTCATTTAACATTTTCTGATACTATTAAATGAATTGTTTACAATCTGTAGGTTTTCTACATTTTGATTGCTTAAACTTTGATGAACAAAACACTTTAGGTCAGGAAAAAAGCACAATTCATACTTTGTGCTTATCCCTTTGCTATACTGCTTGTTTCAAAAACTCTGTTGGGTTAGTGCCAAAGACTGTGGTCCATTGTCACTGACTTTGTTTGGCTGTGAATTAGGGTTCGGTATGTTTTACATTATTCTGATTATGATTATAATACTGCATGTCTGAATCTTACTGAATCCAGGTGCTTTGCAAGTTTATTTTAACTGCTGACATAAAAAGAAACCAATTCCTACCTGAAAGGTTCGGTGGGACAAAAAAACGCATTAAAAAAATCCAACAAATAGTCAGTCTGCTTATGGATATACAGTGGGGCAAAAAAGTATTTAGTCAGCCACCAATTGTGCAAGTTCTCCCACTTAAAAAGATGAGAGGCTTGTAATTTTCATCCTAGGTATACCTCAACTATGAGAGACAGAATGAGAAAAAAAAATCCAGAAAAGAGCCTCCTCTGTCCTCCACTTGTTAACTGTATTAATGGCACCTGTTTGAACTCGTTATCAGTATAAAAGACACAACATCAAAACAGTCACACTCCAAACTCCACTATGGCCAAGACCAAAGAGCTGTCAAAGGACACCAGAAACAAAATTGTAGACCTGCACCAGGCTGGGAAGACTGAATCTAGAATAGGTAAGCAGCTTGGTGTGAAGAAATCAACTGTGGGAGCAATTATTCGAAAATGGAAGACATACAAGACCACTGATAATCTCCCTCGATCTGGGGCTCCATGCAAGATCTGGACCTAGTCAATGACCTGCAGAGAGCTGGGACCAAAGTAACAAAGGCTACCATCAGTAACACACTACGCCGCCAGGGACTCAAATCCTGCAGTGCCAGACGTGTCCCCCTGCTTAAGCCCGTACATGTCCAGGCCCGTCTGAAGTTTGCTAGAGAGCATTTAGATGATCCAGAAGAGGATTGGGAGAATGTTATATGGTCAGATGAAAACAAAATATAACTTTTTGGTAAAAACTCAACTAGACATGTTTGGAGGAGAAAGAATGCTGAGTTGCATCCAAAGAACACCATACCTACTGTGAAACATGGGGGTGGAAACATCATGCTTTGGGGCTGTTTTTCTGCAAAGGGACCAGGAGGACTGATCCGTGTAAAGGAAAGAATGAATGGGGCCATGTATCGTGAGATTTTGAGTGACAACCTCCTTCCATCAGCAAGGGCATTAAAGATGAAACGTGGCTAGGTCTTTCAGCATGACAATGATCCCAAACACACCACCCGGGCAACGAAGGAGTGGCTTCGTAAGAAGCATTTCAAGGTCCTGGAGTGGCCTAGCCAGTCTCCAGATCTCAACCCCATAGAAAATCTTTGGAGGGAGTTGAAAGTCTGTGTTGCCCAGCGACAGCCCCAAAACATCACTGCTCTAGAGGAGATCTGCATGGAGGAATGGGCCAAAATACCAGCAACAGTGTGTGAAAACCTTGTGAAGACTTACAGAAAACGTTTGACCTCTGTCATTGCCAACAAAGGGTATATAACAAAGTATTGAGATGAACTTTTGTTATTGACCAAATACTTATTTTCCACCATAATTTGCAAATAAATTCTTTAAAAATCAGACAATGTGATTTTCTGAATTTGTTTTTTTCTCATTTTGTCTCTCATAGTTGAAGTATACCTAGGAGGAAAATTACAGCCCTCTCTCATCTTTTTAAGTGGGAGAACTTGCACAATTGGTGGCTGACTAAATACTTTTTTGCCCCACTGTATATAAACTCAGTTTGCACGGTAATAGTAAACATATGTGTACTATCACAGAAATCCTACAACAAAATCCAGCAGACCTACTTACATTAGTAAAATAAACACAGACTCCAGGGGGGACTGTACCTATTTATTCTGGAAAGACATCCTTGGCAACTGTCCTGTTTCTCCAGGATGTCTTCATAAAGCTGCTTCATGCAGGTTATGACTGAACCTCTGACAGTTGTGGTTTTTAGATTTTGAAAGGCTAGATTTACTCACAGCCTAGAACTCAGAACACAGCCCGTTTACTCTTCAGTCCCCTAGAGAATGTATTGTATTGTAAGTATTGATTGAAGACTTGTTGCCAGCTGTACCTGTTGCCACAGCAATACACTGCTTTTATCCACTTTTGTTGGCTTTTTTTTTGGAAACAAGGGATTGCTAAAGTCTCTGGGTTTATCTGAACACACTAAACCTATAACCTACAAATAATTCGATTTGACTCAGAAGTGGGACTGAGTTATTTTATTAGTAGTCTCTAATGTACATCCACATGCACAGTCCTGAACAAAGCATGATACCGTCATAAAATAACATGTAAGTAAACAGAAACACGATAGCTGCAAATAATAGTAACACATGAATGCATTATGAACAGTTTTTTTATTGTTTGCAAAATATATTCTGACACCTTAGTAAACAACAAAACACAGCATTGCATTCATGCTGCTCTCAAATTAAGACATGAAAGTGCTGAATTCAACATTACAAATTCTAGTGAAGAAAACATAAGCAGGAAACAATCTTATTCTTATGAATCATAAAGTATTTCCAATCTTTCTGTGGTAGCCCATATTGTGCATCTGGTTTAATAGATATTATGTAATCCGCACAAAATAAACCCTCAACTTTTAGCTTTTTTTGTTTGGTAACTTATTCTGTGTTATGGTTTCCATATCAATCAGCCAACATAACCATACTGTAGCAAGGGCTGTATCAGTAAGCTTTTGAATAAGGTATTTGCAGACATGGATGACTTGTTAAATACACATGGCAGCATTTAGTGCTGATGTGTAGCATGCTTAAATGCACATCTCGATTATCCCTGAGACAAAAATTACACTAGACTTGCATTTTTATTTGTATTACCGGTACTTGATATTTCCTCAAACAGCACTTATTGTGCCGAGTCAAAAGAACATCTGTGGCAAATAATAAAAAAATACCATTAAAAGCACATCAAGCTACAACTGACTACAGGAGAAGTTGAGAATGACTTATTCATTTTAGAGTATCTAAGTTGATTGTAGTTATTGCCACCATCCATCCTGTATGACTTTATTGGTTTTGGGCACATTTACTTTTTCTGAATTGCATAAAACTTCCCATGAAACACCATCACTGTTTATTGGGAACAGAACCGACATACAAGTCGTTCAATTGGCACAACCTACCCAGTTTGAATAGCATAGGCATGAAATATCAGAACAATATAATAATAATGTCTGTCCTGGCTTCCTTCCTTGTTTTTCTTTCAAGCCACTAGACGCCTTAAACAGAAATGTTTAACTTGTTTTCTTCCTTTATATTACTTACAGTTGAAGAGTTGCTTGGCTATGATGTTATGCAATGTGTTTGCTCAAAATAAAATAACAAACTTTTACATGTGCAACAAAGAAAATAGGCCTTTACAATATTCAAAAACAAATAGGCTAAAATAACAAACAACTATTATTTTTTTCTTAAGAAGGCTTATATAACTTAATAACTTAAAGGGTATTTGTACGATTCAAAACTGTTCCTCGACGGCGTCTTTCTAGCAGGTTGCCCATCATTGTCATTTTTTGAGCAGGCGCTGTGGGAATTGTAGTCTTTTATAGTGTGTTAACTACAAACGTCAACATTTGGTGGCCTTTCTTATAAAACAAAATACTGGCTCTAACAATGTCTGTCAGCTGCATCCTGCCTTTGTTCAAATTAGTGGTCACAGGTAGGTAGATGCTTTACAGTATGTTAGTATAACTTACACTTAATGAGCTTCCTATTTTCACTCAGTGATCATTATTTATCTCTTTCTATAGCATTGCCTAACTCCCCTTACAACAAATTATGCATTTTATTTAAAAGAATAACATGTTTCTTTGACATCTTAATATCTCTTTTCTTCCTTTAACTGTTTCCCAGCAGTTCACATTAATTATTTCCGACAGCTCTATACTAAGTCATTGGATTCCCAACATTACAATTAAATATCTACCAAAAAGAGAAATAATTCAGATGCATGTTTTGCAATTAAAATCATTTTTGACTTAGATTAAACCGATAAAAGTTTGCTATGCATCTTATAAGTACTTTGAAATAGATGATCTGTAATTAAATGTTCTCTCCCCAACGGAAAGTTACCTGTTAATTTGGGGATATTACAATAAGAATTCATCATCTACTTTACTGCATGATGATAGTAAAATGCTGCAACAAAGATGATATTGCGGCGAAATGCACCTGGGAATGAGAAAAACCAAACAGCAAACGTTAGTAATTCATCTTGACTGCACTTGCATTCAAAGTTTGAACCATTTCCTGAAATGCATGATACACTGTGCTTGTTTTTCCTGTCAATTTGTTTGATTCAGTGTTTTTTGGGTTGAATAAAAGGTTACCCCAGGAGGATAGAAAACATGCTCACCCTGACATTGCTTGAGATAGCAAGCTCATTTATCATGGCCAAGCTCCCCCCCCTCCCTGTTGGAGTACTGGGCAAGTCCATAGCCAATAACACTGAGGGGCTTATTTTATCACTGAGTATGAAGGACTGTGATATAGTAAAACATTTTATACTGCAGGCAATAGCAATATTTTCTAAAGAATTACAGGGAGAAAGCCTTGAGAGGCAGGCAGAAAAAAGAAAAAAAAACGGGTACTTCAAGGTTAGTTGTTTGCATTTGCAGTCTACTTTATGTATCTTGGTATACACATATTGTTATAGAAATGGAGGAGGCTTTGATATAACCAAATGATGACAGAAGTTTGGCACATGGAGACA